TTTCATTTAGTAGATATATCAGGGGTCCCATGAGCACCCAGGTTCGATGACTGACTCAAGGACTCAGGATTCAGTATACAGTTGCATTCATGGCTATGATGCATTACAGCCAAAGAATACAAAGCAAAATCAACACCAAAGTACATCAAATGGACAAGACAAGATAGTAGAAGGGCATTAAAGGCAATGGGAACAGTACATGCAAAGGCAAAGAGCTATGAAAGGATGCCCCAGCCAGGAAACAAACCACACTGCTGAAAAGTCCTTTCAGTATGGCCGAGCACAAGGTGCCTGGGAGAGTATCAGAAGGAGGGAATGGAAGGGGCACCTGAGTGGCTCAGTCAATTACTGCCTTCAACTCAGATCATGATCTCAGTGGGGAGTCTGCTTCCGGTCTGTCCCTCCCCCTCTGTCCCTCATCCTCTGTCCCTCCCTCTCTGCCCCCTCTACTCCTCCTCTGCCCCTCCCCCCTCCTGTTGCTCACACTCCCTCTCACTCTCTCTCAAATAAATAAATAAAATCTTTTAAAAAGAAGGGAGTGGAGAGGGAAGGAGAAAGACTTTATAATGCGCCTCTTATACCACAGTAGGACATTTTAACTTTTTAACTTTCTCCTATGAGCAACAGGAAGCCATTAAATATTGTCGGTCAGGGAGTATAGTACAGTGCCTGGCTATAATAGACAGCTTTTTTCCTCCAAAAATTAAGATGTTGAAATCCTAACCCCCAATGTGATACTATTAGGAAGTGGGGCCTTTGGGAACTGATTAGGTGATAAGGGTAGAGCCCTTATGAATCAGATGAGTGCCCTTATGAAAGAGACCCTAGAGAACTCTCTCACCCCTTCTGCCGTGTGAGGACAGAGAGAGAGAAGATGGCTGTCTATAAACCAGGAGGACAGCTTCCACCAGAGACCAGATACCAGATCTGCCAGTACTTTGATCTTGGACCTTCCAGCCTCCAGAACTGTGTGAAATAAACTTGTTGTTTAAGCCATTTGGTCTATGGTATTTTGTTACAGTAGCCCAAATGGACAAAGATACTGACATATAATGTAGTAGGCCCAAAATAAAGCCTGTTGATTCAATGTGATTCAAGTTATTATACCAGTTCAAGATCTATACCGATTTCTTGGCAATCCTTCAGTGAAGATGACAGAGCTTCACTGGATCACTCTAGGGGTGCCTGGGTGGCTCAGTTGGTTAAGCATTTGCCTTTGGCTCAGGATCCCAGGACCCTGGGCTTGAGTCCCACGTCAGGCTCCTTTCTCAGCAAGGAACCTGCTTCTCCCTCTCCCTCTGCCTGCCGTCCCCCTGCTTGTGCTCTCTCTCTCTGTCAAATAAATAAAATCTTTTTTTTTTAAAAAGCCACTCTTATTTCCTTGGATACATTAAACTAAACTAAGTCACTTTGATCCATAAGCAAATGCACAATTAATTGAAACTGGTTCTAGAAATTATGGGATCTAAAACTCTAGATCTAGAAAAGTGGGGTTTAGCTTCACCAAGATGGAGACTAGAACCTAATATCAGCTTGTGAAATTATCAGAAAAATATAGCTTTCAGAATAAACTGGTAACAACTACCATTTACTTTGTGCCAGGCAATTTGGTAAGTAGTTTATGGAAATTATTTTGGTTAATCTTCATTTAAAGCAGGCATCATTTACTCATTTTACAGATGAAGAAGCAGACTTACAAATTTTAAATAATTTACCTAATATTGCATAGGTCATGACTGCAGAATGGAGCAGTTGACATCAAGCTGAGTATCTCATGACTTTAACTGACCACCTGTTTATGTCTGAGATTATTGGAGTTAATCCCAATCCTGCTCGGCTCAGACACTGTTGGGGTGTAAGACATCATGGCCATCCATTGCACTTCACAGGGCTCTGAACATCCAGCCCTCCTGCCCCAAGTGTGGCTCAGTAGGGCCTGGAATAGTTGGGAGTCCCTGGACCACCACTGGGGTGATGAGAAGCTGCCTTATCTGTTTAGTCTAACTTGCCATACTGATATGCTCATTTTTTAAGTGGGCTGTGACATGGAAAAAGTTGGAAAGCTCTTACCTGAATCTAATTCTCCTTTGCCTCCTCAAAACCCTCTAGAAATCCCAATCCAGTGATCAGCAAACTCCCCTACACCCTCAACCTGTCCTTGGAAAGTCACTGATTTAAAACCTGGCATGTCCTGAAGACAGTGCTTCCCTGCAGCCCTGAAGACACTTTATAAAATGACCCATCTTGAGCAGTGGACTAGGACTGCAACAAAGATGTGCGGGGGGGTGTGTTGTGTGTGTGTGTGTGTGTGTGTGGTCATCATCCCTGCCCCCTCTCCCCCGCCAACATAGCTTTGTCACAGTTTTCCTCAAGAGGAAACCCTGCTGTTTTGGACCAATCTCAGATTCTGAGTCAAATAATGCTTGTACAAATCCTATTAGTAAAACCCGATTTACGGTTACTTCTAACAACTAGAGATGTGTTCACAGAGCTGAGAAGTAGAAAATCTCATGATAGCATTCACTGGAGAATAATCTAAATTGTTTTGAGCATCTAATCAGATCGGGAGTGAGTGAAAGAGGACTGTTTTTTGCTTCATTGTGTCAAATATATATGTTTGAATTCTGGGACTTTGACAAAAATGTCCTCTATAACTTTGGATTTCCAGCTGAATAACTCATGCTATGGAAATCTGGGCAACTAGAAACTTTCTTTAAGATAAATAAATAATGTATAGTCATTGGTTTTTAGGCTGGTCATCTGGTATTGGCAAAAGGACATGGATTTGCAGTCTGAGGTCTGGTGTTCAAGCATGGGCTCTGACATTGACTAGCTGTGTGATCCTGATAAAACCTTCACCTCTCCCAGTTTGTTTCTTTATTGTCAAATAAGAAAGAATCCTTCATAGGAGAACCAACCTAAGGATTAAATGTTGTAATGTATGCTAAAGTGCTTCATAAACTATAAAACACTGCACAAACATCATCTATTGCATTGTAATAGATGAATCAGGCATGAGGCCTGACAGAGCTGATGCACAATATTTATAATATTTATACTAGTATAAATATAATATTTATGATATATACTATATGTTATTATACATAATTATATATATAATTTAGTATAAATAAGTAAATTCTGCTGGTGAGCTGTGTCATCTCAGGCAAGAAACATCTCTGTCTCTACCTCTCTTTTGCCTCCTCTGATACCACTTCTCGCTATTCACTGGGCTCCAACCATACTGTCCTTTTTCCTGTTCTTCCAACACAGCAAGTTCACTCCTGCTGCAGGGACTTTGGACATGCTGTTCCCTCTTCCTGGAACATTCCTCCCCAGCTCTTTGCATGGTTTTCCACTTCTCATCAATCAGGTCTTAGGTAAAATGTCATTTCTTCAGAGGCTTTCTCTAACCACCCTGACTAATATTCCTTCCACATCATTCACCCAATACCTATTCTTGTTTTATTTTCTCCTTAGCACTTCTTACTATCTGTTGACTTATTATACTCTCCTCCACTAGAATAAAAATCACTATGCTAGAGTTTCCCCGTCTTGTTCACAACTGGATTCCAATGCCCAAAATAACATCTAACTCATAGTAAACTCTCAATACACATTTGAATAAATGAAGTTGAAATAAAGTATATCAAAAGTTTCATTCATTCAACAAATATTTTATATGTACCTATGAGAGCCCAGGCTCCATTTCAAGGTGCTGGGGATTCAACTGAGAACAAAACAAAAATCTCTGCTTTCTTGGGGCATGCCTACTAGTGGGAAAACAAACAAAAAACAAGGTAAAAAGTAAAAACATACTATATCTGATGATGTTAAGTGTTAAAGAGGGAAAAAAATAAAGCAGGAAAAGAGGACATGAAATGTGTGTGGAGGTGTTAAATTTTAGATAGGGTAGCCAGAGAATGAAATGAGAGGCTAAGCCATGAGGACATATGGGGGAAATGCATTCCAGGAGGTCAGGGTAACTGGGACAGTAATGAAGGTGTTGGAGGCTAACACAATAGGAGATGAGATCAGGGAGGTTAAGGGAAGTCAAACTGTAAAGGGCCCTTTGGCTAAACTAAGGACTTTGGCTTTTATCGAGAGTGAGATGGGAAACCGTTGGGAGAGTAGGAGCATCAGGGTATCATGATATGGTTTGTTATAAGAGGACTGCTGGGGCTGCTGTGCTGAAAATACCTGAAGGGCAAGGGAAAGGACCAGTGAAGCTACAATAACCTTAGCAAGAGATGGTGGCTCAGAAAGACTGGGGGAGGAGCTGTGGGGATGGAGGATGAAATTTCAGATTTGACAGTTTAAGGGGGAGGTCTGGGCTGGGAATTAGAACTTGAAACTCAAATGGTATTTATTATCAGAAGTAACCGAGGGGCGCCTGGGTGGCTCAGTCATTAAGCATCTGCCTTCGGCTCAGGTCATGATCCCAGGGTCCTGGGATCGAGCCCCGCATCGGACTCCTTGCTCAGCAGGAAGCCTGCTTCTCCCTCTACCTACCACTCCCACTCCCACTGCTTGTGTTCCTGCTCTATCTCTCTGTCAAACAAATAAATAAAATCTTTAAAAGAAGAAGAAGAAGAAGTAACCGAATCATGGAGATGGAGTCCTGGCTCTACCACATTCTAGTCGCAAACTGTTGAGTAAACTATTTTAGGTTCTGGGCCTCAATTTCCCTAACAGTAAAATATAGAAAATATTCCCACATAACAGGGCCTTCAAGAGAAGGAAATGAGAAGTGTCGAAGGCTGACGGTGAGCAAGGTGAGAACCTTGCACGAACCTGTACCGAAGGGAGGGGGCTGCTGTAAAGCCAGCGACTGACATAATTCCATAGTACTTATTCCGAGGTCCCCCAGCAGCGATCAAAACGAAGCGCCTGGGCCCGCACCGCAACGCGGTCTGCGGCGCCCAAACCTCGCGAGATTTGTTGGCCGGGCAAAGTCACCCTCCCACCCACATCTCGCGAGACTAAGGTTTATGAGAGGCTATCTGCCGGTTAGGGCTTGCAGGAAAGATGGAGTATCCCGCGTTGGGCACCGTGGAGGCAGCGGACAGTGGAGGGGCCCGGCCATACAACAGCTCCGAGGAGCGAGAAGGACGGGAACCGGACGGGCTGCGCTTCGACCGCGAGAGGGCGCGCCGCCTGTGGGAAGCAGTGTCCGGGGCCCAACCAGTGGGGAGGGAGGAAGGTGAGTCCCGGGACCTCAGAAGCAGCGAGTCTTTCACCCGCCCGCTCGTCTCACGGGGAGTGGCGGAAGCGCGGGGCGGGAACGCGGACCAGCCCCCGGGTCTCCGGTCACACCCCCTGGCGCCCGGCCCGCCCCCTTGCGTGACGCGCCCCGGGACTTCTTGACTCGTGCACCCCGGCCGGGCCTGGCTACCGTGGGCCAGCTCCCTTGAAAATTGAAGCCGCCGCACCACATGAATGAGGTCTCCGCGCTCAAATGGCCAAGGGCCTTCTCATACTCAGGACGCGGGGTTTTTTCCCCTTCCATTCTCACCCACCAGAGCACAGCTCTTCCAAAACTCCTATCCGTGCCTTCTCGGAGACCCACAGAGCCTTCCCCGCCAGACTCCTAGCCCTTGACCATTTCTCCCTGACTCTGCATCGTCCCTGTCTCCAGGTTCTTCCACCCCTTGTGTCGCTTGCCTGCCTTCTCTCATGCCCCACACTGCCAAGGACTCCAAAAGGCCTTCTTACCCTGTTCCTCCTGGCCTTGGTATCTTCAACCTGATTTACCCCTGTTTCTAGGTGTCTGGTCTCTACTACCTGGGTCTCTTTTATGAGGTCAGGGCCAGGAACTTGAGAAACTGGCTAGGGTATATTTTGGCTCCAGCTTCTTTGCATCCCACGCTTGTACAGAAGTTGAGAACAGGGTACACTGGGGGTCACTTCAGGGCTGAAGCTTCCCAGCTTGCTCTGCATTTGACCTGGCACTGGGTAAGATGGAGATAGAGGAGGATAGAAAGCGCTGGCCTGACCTGGTTGTGTGACCCCCTTTGTAGTCCTTAGGAGAGCTAGCTGCTTAACGCTAACCCAGAAGTACAAGAACTGTCTGGCCTTCTTTGCTAATCCTGTCAAGTAATCTGCAGTAAAATCAGATGGTTTGTTTGCTTGGTGAGCAGACTAATCTTGGAAAGTTTAATATGTTGCTTGTGAACTGATTGCCCTGGGATAAAACGGAATTTTAACCATACCCAAGGAAGATATATTTAAATTTGGGGTGGTACACAGCCCTATACCCTTGTGTATACTTCTCCAGTTTTAAAACTAGTCTAGTCTGACTCCTAAATTAATATGGGCTCTCTGTCTGCCTCATAATTTTGAACTTGTTTGGTACAAATCCCCCCAAACATATCCCAATTTCCTTTCACTAATTTGACAAACAGTCATTGATACCTGCTCAGTTCCCAGGACTGGCTGGGCATCAGAGCTACAGAGATGAGGAAGATACTGTCCTTGCCCTGGAGGGGTTTATAGTCTAGCCCAGGAAGCAGACACCAAAACAGTTTCAGTATAATATAATGGGTGCGGTGAAGAGGAATGTATAAGAGTTGGTTGTGCACAAAGAGGGAGTGACCTTTGTCCTTGAGGGACAGGGAGGGCATCCCCTAGACCTTGAAGCAGAGAACACAGCTGTGCTCTAAAAAGTGAATTGCTTATGTGTGTATGAATGTACAGTGTCACTTAGGACCCAGTTCATTTTCCTACTCTCCTTCCCTTCCAATATTTGTATGAGGTTTAGGTAGATACTTGTAACACCAAGTTCTGCTCACCTTGGTTTTCGTTTTGTTTTGTTTTTCTCTTAGCACTTTCATTGAGTTAAAATTTATATACCGTAAAATTCACCCATTGTAACTGTACAGTGCAATGATTTTTTAGTAAAAGTACAGAGTTGTGTTTTAGAATATTTCTATAGCTCCAGTTAGTTCCTTTGTGCTTGTTTACATTAAATCTCCACTCTTACCTCTTGCCCTAGGCAACCACAGTCCTCTATAAATTTACCTTTTCTGAACATTTCGTATAAACAAAATCATACAATAGGTAGTCTTTTGCATTTGGCTTCTTTTGGCATGTTTTTGAGGTCCAGCCAAGTTGTACTGTGTACTAGTACTTCATAACTTTTTGTTGCAAAATAGAATCTCATTGTATAGATCTTGATTTGTTATCCTTTGACAGTCTCTGCCTTTTGAGTGGGCTGTTTAGACGTTCACATTTAATTTCATTATTCGTATGGCTAAATTTACATTTTCCACTTTGCTATTTATCTCCTTTACATTTTGTTCTTTCCTTTCCCCTTTACTGACTTCTTTTGTATTAAGTATTTTTTAGTGGGCCATTTTAATTTCTCTGTTCATATTTTTTATACTTTCTTTTTTACTTTTTTATTTTATTAGTGCCCAAGGGACTACAAGATGCATCTTAACTCATCACAGTCTACTTCAAATTAATACTACCAACTTAATTCTGGTAAAATATAAAAACATTCCTCCCCCTCCTTTGTAGTATTATTGTCATGTATATTATTGTCATATATATTACATCGATTTATGTTATAAACCTAATTATTCAGTGTTGTAATTATTGATTTATACAATATGTCTTTCTTTTAAGATTTATTCAGTGGCTCAGTCGTTAAGCATCTACCTTCGGCTCAGATCATGATCTCAGGGTTCTGGGATCGAGCCCCGCATCGGGATCCCTGCTTGGTGGGAAGCCTGCTTTTCCCTTTCACACTCCCCCTGCTTGTGTTCCCTCTCTCGCTGTGTCTCTCTCTGTCAAATAAACTTAAAAAAATCTTTAAAAAAAAAAAAAAAATTTATTGGGCGCCTGGGTGGCTGAGTTGGTTGAGCGACTGCATTTGGCTCAGGTCATGATCCTGGAGTCCCGGGATCGAGTCCCACATCCGGCTCCCTGCTCAGAAGGGAGTCTGCTTCTCCCTCTGACCCTCTTCCCTCTCATACTCTCTGTCTCTCATTCTCTCTCTCTCAAATAAATAAATAAAATCTAAAATAAATAAATAAAAATGTTAAAAAAAGTTTTTTTTTAAGATTTTATTTATTTATTCATGAGAGAGAGAGAGAGAGAGAGAGAGAGGCAGAGGGAGAAGCAGGCTCCCAAGGAGCAGGGAGCCCGATGTGGGACTCGATCCCAAGACCCTGAGATCATGACCTGAGCTGAAGGCAGACGCTTAACCATCTGAGCCAGCCAGGCGCCCAAGATTTATTTATTTTAGAGAGAGAGAGAGAGGGCGGCACAATGGGGAAGGGCAGAGGGAGAGGAAGAAAGAATCTCAAGCAGACTCTGCTGCTGAGTGCACAGTCAGATGCAGGGCTCCATCTCACAACCTGGAGATCACAACCTAAGCTGAAACCAAGAGTCAGGCGCCCAACTGACTCTGCCACCCAGGCACCCGTATACAATATGTCTTTTATTTATTTTTTTTATAAAGATTTTATTTATTTATTGGACAGAGAGAGAGGGAACAGAAGCAGCGGGAGAAGGAGAGGGAGAAGCAGGCTTCCCGCTGAGCAGGGAGCCCGATGTGGGGCTCGATCCCAGGACCCTGAGATCATGACCTGAACCGAAGGCAGACGCTTAACGACTGAGCCACCCAGGCGCCCCTACAATATGTCTTTTAAAGAAATTAAGAGAAGAAATTAGGGGAAAAAAATATTTATAATGTCTTTTATATTAACCCACATATTTACCATTTCTGGTGTTCTTTTTTTCTTCCTCTGGATTCAAGTTACCACTTGGTACCACTTCTTTTCGGCTAGAAGGGCTTCCTTTAGTATTTCTTTTTTTTTTTAAGATTTTATTTTTTTATTTGTCAGAGAGAGAGAGAGAGAGAGAGAGCACAAGCAGGAGTGGCAGGCAGAGGGAGAAGCAGGCTCCCTGCTAAGCGGGGAGCCCAGTATGGGACTCGATCCCAGGACCCTGGGATCATGACCTGAGCTGAAGGCAGCTGCTTAACCAGCTGAGCCACCCAGGCATCCCTCCTTTAGTATTTCTTGTAAAGCAAACCTGCTAGCAGTGAATTCTCTCAGTCTTTATCTGGGAATGTCTTTATTTTGCTTTCAGTCTTAAAGAATAATTTTTTAAAATAACATCTTTATTGGGGCGCCTGGGTGGCTCAGTTGGTTAAGCGACTGCCTTCGGCTCAGGTCATGATCCTGGAGTCCCGGGATCAAGTCCCACATTGGGCTCCCTGCTCAGCAGGGAGTCTGCTTCTCCCTCTGACCCTCTTCCCTCTCGTGCTCTCTATCTCTCATTCTCTCTCTCTCAAATAAATAAATAAAATCTTTAAAAAAAATAAAATAAAATAAGATCTTTATTGATACATAATTCATATGCCATAAAATTCACCCTTGTAAAATATACAGTTCAGTGGTTTAGTATATTCACAGAATTGTGCAACCATCACCAGTAATTCCAGAACATTTTCATCACCCCAGAAAGAAACCCTGTACCCATTAGCAGTCACCTCTGGCAACTACTCATTCCCTTTCTGTTTCTATAGACTTGCCTATTCTGGATGCTTCATATAAATTGAATTGTATAATATGTAGCCTTTTGTGACTGGCTTCTGTCACTTAGCATAATGTTTGAAGGATAGTTTTGCTGGACATGGAGTTATTGGTTGACAGCTTTGATCTTCTCACTACTGTTATGTCACTGCCCTCTGGCTTTCATTGTTACAGATGAGAAGTTAATCAAATTATTCCACTATACATTATGAGTCATTTTTCTCTTGCTAATTTAAAGAGTTCCTGTCTTTATCTTTCTTTTTAAAAATTTATTTATGTATTTATTTATTTTAGAGAGAGAGAGAGCACAAGCAGGTGAAGGAGCAGAGGGAGCGAATCCTCAAGCAGACTCCTCACTGAGTGCAGAGCCCAACAAGGGGCTTGATCTCAAGACCCATGAAATCACGACCTGAGCCAAAACCAGGAGTCAGACACTTAACTGACTGAGCCACCCAAGCACCCCATCTTTATCTTTCAGTAGTTTGACTATGATGTATCTGGGTGTAGATCTCTTGGTATTTATCCTGTTTTGAGAGACTTGAGACTTTTTTTTTTTTAAGATTTTATTTATTTATTTGACAGAGCACACAAGCAGGGGGAGCGACAGGCAGAGGGAGAAGGAGAGGCAGGCTTCCCACTGAGCAGGGATCCTGATGCG